AAAAAAACACGCTTTAATTTACGTTGAAATATGCGAAATGAAACGTATACCAACATCACTCTACCAAGCGAATCGTCAAAAATTTGTTTTTATACATATTCATAATTTGTCTTGCTCAATTATTTTACATAAACTAAAATCACAAGCAGCGTAACTACTGTATTCAAATTTTACAAGGACCAAAGCACTCACCTGAATCCTCATAATCTCTACAAAATTTGTCCCATATGCGCGTTTAGTAAAATCTGCCATATTAAATTGGATCTGATTCCATCCCTCGTCCAAACGCATAGGCATAGTACATATAAAAGGTTTCACTCTAGTGGTGCTCTGATAATTACTAGCTCTGAAACGCCTTCGAATGCCTTTATCATCTAATACCTGCTAGTAATATGAAAAGCAAACTCTACCATAATTTCAAAGGTAAAGTACTTTTTGAGATTTTTGACAATCAAAACCAAAAACGGAAGTTTGATCCCCAAAGTTTTACTAGGGTCAGCAGGGCACGTGATATAAGTGGAACTGAATTTAAGTATAACATGAAGCTTATCAAACCTAACGTTTGTTCCAATGAGTTCTAATACCAAGGACTGAATATCACTGTCAGTGATGCGTTTAATATGACCATTTCTGACCTAATTAAGGAAAAAAAATAAAAAAAACGAAGGTTGCCTTTTTATCCCAAATCTGCAGAGGTTTCGTGCCTATGCTGAAAAGAATAGATAAGAATCCGCTTTGAAAAGTGTTTCTGAACATTTAAGAAACCCGGGCCTCCCACACTAAATAAAAATAAAAAAACAATAATATACATTATATTCTATTTTACACATAATAATAATTTTTTAAAATATAAATTTAGTTATTTTTTTTTGTTTTTATTTGGCGACTATTTGAACGGCTATCTCGGCAGCCGTTAAAAATGAAACAGGCTGTGACTAGGCAGTTTCTTGGCTTGGCTGAATTGATTACCCCTGTTTTGAAGGAATCTAAATTTAGAGAAAGCGGAATGATTACTCCCGCCGAATTTGTATTGGCAGGCGATTACTTGGTTCATCATTGCCCAACTTGGCAATGGGCTTCAGGGGACGAATCCCTCGTACGAAATTTCCTTCCACCAGAAAAGCAATACCTCATAACCCGAAGCGTTCCTTGTTATAAAAGGATTAAACATATGGAGATAGGAAGCGATGCCTGTGAGAATATTCTTGAAGCGGACGATCCTGACGGCGGTTGGGTTGACACTCATAATCTCTCTGAAGGCCATGGTAGTCCTTTTCATTTGGTTAGCTTGCGTAGCTGGTGATATAGAGGACACGAGGGAGCTCAAGGACTTTGGGATTGACGAATTCTCACGACCTATATCAGCCGGGATTCACGCTGAGGAGGA